TTTTTTTTTTTTTGAACATGGGAGAATGTGGGAAATGTGGATAATTTGTTTATTATTGCAACGGATAAAATTTTAACAAATGTCAAGAATTTAATGCATATGAATTAAGACAATGAAAATTGCATGTGCTTTTAATTAAGAAGATGATAGCGTTATACGTACTATATATCGTGAATCAACATCCCAAAACCAAGTCATGCTGCACGATTTATGCAAGGCTAGTATACGAATCATTAGTGTTATTTAATAATAATAAAAAAAGGAAGTTAAAACTAAATAAGTACTAATAAAAGATTGCGGCCAAAAAAATTAAAAATTTTAATTCATCGGTAGTTCAAATCTTAATTATTATTTGGTAGTTTAAACTATTAAATAAAAATTTCATCAAATATTTAGTTTGTAATGATTTTAAAATAAATAAATTTATCAAATATTTATCCTATAATAATTTGAACAGAGTCATTATTTACTATTCAAAGCTAATATACTAAATGAGGGCTTAATCTATAATTTTGCCCTTACTTTTTTTCAATAACAGACTAAGCCTGGATAAAAATTAGTAAAGGAAATAAAGGGGACAGGAGGGGAGGGGAGGGGAGAGGAGGAAAGGGAGAAGTGAAGGGAAGGAAATGATTGATAATAGTTTTGTTTCGATAAATAAAAATAAGGAAGGAGAAGGATAATATTTTTATTTAATTAAATAATTTAATAAAAAGTAAAATTAAGAAGAATAAAATTTTTAAAGTTTACTAATTAAATAAATAGTTGAAATAAAATGCTTTTATATAGTTATTTTAAAAAATTAAAAACAAAAATAAATTAAGTAATGTAATTAATCCCAATCTGTCCCAATCCCTCCGAATCCAAAGGATTGCAAACAAAAGAAGGGAGAGGAACTCCCCTCCCTCCATCTCTTTCCTCTTCATTAAAATTATTTATTTAAACAGAAGAACTCCGTCTCCTTTCATCTATTTTCTCTTCATTAAAATTGTCTATTTAAACAAAAGAATGGACTCTCTCCCTAACTCTCCTCTCCTTTCCCTCCAACTTCCTTAGTCCAAACATGGTGTAAAAGTTTAACCAAAAAAAATAACATACTAGAGAATAATTTGAGCACATATTTTTAAACGAATCAGAACTGTACATATAGTAAACAGGAGCCTATTTGCACTTTGTATTACTCAAATTTGGACCCATCTAGACAGGATCTTATGACTTAAAAAATAATAATAATAAAGAATTAAGTTGGGTGTTTTTTTTATCAAAATTAAATATCAAAGTTTATGGAACGTATAAAAATTATTGTTTAATATTCAAAATATTTAAAGAGTTATAGATAGCTAAAAAAAGGCATAAATTGATTTTTATTTTTTAATTTTATTAAGCAACATTTTTATTAATTAATTTACTTATAAAGTTATTATTTTGATACTTTTTTTATAACTGTATAATTATGATAGAGTATTTTTTTTATACTTCTTAATAATATATGAATTTTGCTGATTAAAAAAAAAAAATTCGGCACCGTCTCCACCCTTGACAAAAGGTCCAGACTTTTATTGAACGTACAAA